AAATCTTTATTTATTCTTTCAAATCAATTTCATCCCCATTCGACATAATGCACTTATGCCAACGAAAAAGTCCTCTTCTGGAAAGGCCTTCAAAGCGCGCAGCGATTCACATTGAATTAATTTTAAATAGATGACGATAACAGAGCTACCAAGCTACAGAAAAGAAGTTTATCAGTTTGGATGAAGCCGCGAAGTTTAAATTGAAAAGTCACCTTACTTTTTGGACACGATAGTATGTTACTAAATTTGTCATTGCAACGTCTATACTTGGCTCGACGACGAGCACGTCGACGGGAAAGCAATTTCGATCGATGCCGGTCGATCCGCAGGGGGAAGTTGCAGCGCATAAGTTTCGCTTCTGTCGGGCGTTAGGGGTAATCCCGGCCAACCCTAAATTCCCCGATCTGCTTATCGCGGGCACGTATCGGCGATACGTTTGCCAAATCGATCGAGCATCTTTCGTTATCGCGACCCGTTACCGCGATACAAGGGATTGCTCCAGTTACAAGATTAATCTAACGCGATACCCCGAGGGTTCCGGCGTTACGCGTTTACAATGTTCATTGAATTCATCGTTATGGCTCGACTGGACACCGATCCCCCCGTCGCGTAATCGGATTCCGCGGAAAACAACTCCTTGAAGCTACGAAAGGCTGAACGTATTCGTTGCAGCTTGAAAGAGTTAACGAAAAGTCGGATGAAATCGATAGCGTCTCGTTGTTCGACCACCGTGAAACCGTGAAACGTTTCCAATGGGAGTTGACTGTTTCGTTGAACCGTAAGTTTTAACCGGGTTTCCAGGACAAGCGTAATTTTCCGCCGGTATAATGAGAGTGGCCCGTAATTTAGGAGGGTAAGCTGGCTTTCCATTTGCCAAGAACATCGTCGATTTGAAGGAGGGGGCTGTCCATTAAAATTCTATGCCGGTTTAAGGGTACGTTGGAAAGATCGAACCGATCGCGAACGATATCTCGGCCACGATAGGCGAGCGAGTACCGCGAATGGCTTTAATCCAATTTCGATTCCGGAGAACAAGGGATGTTTAGCTAAGATCCGCGGAGTCGGCTGCACTCGGGATAAAGTGGGTTAAGGAGCTCTCGCTCGTGGAACGAACAGGGTGCATGGACGACGACGTCGACGAATCGCTTATATTGTGACGACACGTACCGGAAGACGGGGTTTTATATGCGCGTACACGGCCGAACGAGGTTCCTTCCGCATTGGGAACGCGCCACCGGGCTTTTCTCTCGCGATAACGTCTTCTCCCGCGGCTCCCCGACCGCGTTGTTTCTCACCCTCGACAACGATTACGAATACAAATTAATAAGGAGTATTCACTTCAGCTTTTTCTAGAGTTTTGCAGCTGTTACGACGAGAAATAACAATTACGATTTATTCTGTGTTGCGGCGTAACAGTAAATTCATAAAGCCAACGGATGTAGAATCGGTACTTTCGAACAATCAAGTTTTGCCTATAATCAAATGCCATTAAGACGGCTATTTAATTAGTAAATTCATTCAAATAACATCGAAAACCAGTGCCAGATGTTTTATGACGAGTCAGGTATCGCAAGAAACCCGGGCCCCCAAAAATTATTAAAAATAACGGTTACATACCGCCTACCACCGATCGACTTCGCCTCCAAGCTGATTTGGCCAGTATATTTGCAATATTTGACCAATCTGAGACCGATGCTGCGTCCCATGGCCTTGGGTACGCCAATGGCGAGCATATTGGGCAACCTTGGCCCAGAGACCAGATCAAAATTGACTCTTAAACACCATACATCAATGGTATATTCAAGACATTGTACATTCCGGCTATACGACGTAGAATAAATTGTTATTGCTTGTTACAAGATTCCACTGATTGTGATACAAGTTTTCATTAACGTTGACGTGTGAATTTGAACATATCAAAAAGTTTCTTTCGCCAAATTAAAATTATTTTGCTCAAACCCTCAGCAACAACCAACGGAGATTTAAGAAAGAAACTTCAGAGAAACGTATGCACGTTATGAAGCAATATAAGCTGTGCTGTGTAAACGATGGTTTACGAAATCGAGTAGATCGACAGTACCCGTCGAGGGGGTCGGTAAATAAAAGATGGAGAAAGGTAGGGGAAGAGAAATGAAGGGCGATCCGCGGGCGGACGACGACGGAGTCTCGATTTAATGAACTCTCGAGAAGCAGAGTAAGAAACAGGGTGGAACGGTAAGAGAGAGAGATAGCGGGTTTGGTAACGAGTGCGCGTTAGAGCACGGCTGGCTCGGTCGCTGCACGGAACCGTAATGAGGAATTTCACCTAGAGACATTTTGTCGGGAGCATCCTACGCGGCTTTGTGCAATGGTCTATCGTTGCTTTGAGGTATGCAACGGCTCCTAATTAGGCCAGCGAGGCGTCGACTGAGGTTTACGAGGCCGCTTTCTTCGGATCCTCGTCCCGCGTAGCGCAATCCTTATCTCGACACGCGTATTATGTGTGCATTTTCTTCGGGATCCGTTCCTACGCCGGCTAGGAGGCGACATTCGGGCGCGAATGAAAGGGACGAGGGCCGTGTCAAAGCGCCCGAGGCATTTTTCAATTACAGCCTGTTACGCGCTCGCCAAAGGAACGCGGATGAAGAACGAGGGAAAATGGGACGGCAGGAAGGAAGACGCGGCCGGGGACGAGCGAACCCACGCGGACGTTTATTAAACTCGCCTGTTTAAAGAACGGACGATTGTAATCGTCAACGACTGGGATGCTACGGCATCCCTACACCGGACCATCTTATTATTTCGAATATCAACCGTACGAGATGTTCTTCCTAAATCACGTCTCCTCCTTTTCTTGCCTCTTGGGCTGGCCTAATAGTTCAGCTGGCGGAAAGAGCAGAAAAAGGTAACCTAATTGGTTAACCAGTAACTAAGATAAATACCTGTGACTAGAGATTACCGATAGAGGTTACCGATCAGTCGTGGATTCGAGTATGTTGAATGTTCGTAACTTACCTGAAACAGAAAGAGAATATCGAATTAGCAACGAAGATCAACGATTTCAATTTAAATAATTACTTTCTTTAAAAACGTAATTGACAAAATAGAAACGCTTCGAAAGGTCGCGTGCGGTCTGTAAACCTCGTGTTCGTCATCCCCCTTTTAGAACAGCGTTTTCCAAAGCAATATTTAAACTAAAATGTTGCAGATGACTCGATTATATTTACTGCATTTTGTAACCCCCCCATCCTTTCGGTGATTATTGCAGAACGGTAGTCGCGTTGCGGTCGAACAGCGTTGTTTAAAAACAACCAATTCGACTGATTCTTTCTACAAACAACCGGATCGCGATAGTACCGCACAAGCACCGCGGGAAATCGTACGTATTCGGTTCGAAATATTTGCTCAACATAGAATTCCCGTGTGTTGGCACGCTTGGAGCTATCGCTATCGCTATCGCTGTAAACGGTAGAGATTTACCGTGTTATTCCGGAATTGTGGCAATTTTCTCGCCGCGGTTTGCTTCGAGCTTGCGTGCGTGACGTTTACAATAATAATGTCTTTGTTGGACTTAATGCTATATTGGGCGCATAATGCTCGTCAAGACGCCGCAAACAGTCCCAAGCGTGACAAAGTAGCGCGCGACAGAGCGCGTTCTAGGCGGCTGCAAGCGTAACGATATTAGGAGAAATTGTAACGGGCATCGTTTAGCACGAAATCGTTCTACCGTCGCAGGAAGGGCCCCGTTAAATGGTATCGCTTCGTTTAACTGGATCCCCGTCGTTGTAACTCCAACGCAAAGGTCATCGTCATCGGGTCCTGACCGATTCTATCGAGATAAGGACGTCTGAACGCAGGCACAAATTTATTCGAGAACGCGTCGAGCAAGCAACCTGGAATTGATCGATCAACGATTAATCCCGCGATTATTGAATCGAGGAACGTTTCAACCACGATTGGCTCAACACTCAGGAAGCTCGAATCGATGGAGGAGGATTGGGAATCTGTCCAAGTCAATAAGACGATACGTGTTTATCAACTCTCTCGCCACTGGCGTGTATCAAATTTTATTTCTTCAAAGGGCGTTCGAAGATTTCTTGATTTTATTATTAGTCATCGACTCTTTACAATACGATACATTCATATGTACTTATAAGATATTCATAGCACCGGTAATTACATATATATTTCCTAAAAGACTAAGAAACGTTGAGCCACAGACGACGTATACGAATAGACCAATATATTTCCAGCCACACATTATACTTTCGGCAAGGAATTTTTTTCTCGGAAATGCGTAGGAATTCGAGGATATGTCTATTCACCAAAAATGATTGTAATCGACCCCCCTAGCTAGAAATAATTTTTTTAGAACGATTTGAAATTTTTTTTTTTCGTCGAAAAATTTAAGGGGAATAGGCGTACGTATGGTCAGACATTTTCAGTAATGAATTTTTTTCTCGAAACTGGGTAGGATTTCGGGGGTATGTCTATTCACCAAAAATGACTGTAATTGCCCTCTACAACTAAGCATAATTTTTTTAAAACGATTTGAAATTTTTTAATTTTGTCGATAAATTTCACACATTCTCGAATTTTTTTCTCGAAACTGGGTAGGGTTTCGGGGTTATGTCTATCCACCAAAAATGATTGTAATCGATCCCCCCAGCTAACAATAATTTTTTTATAACGATGTGAATATTTTTAATTTTGTCGAAAAATTTCAGACCTTCTCGAATTTTTTTCTCGAAAGCGCGTAGGAATTCGGGGGTATGTCTATTCACAAAAACTGACTGTAATTGACCCCTGCAACTAAGCATAATTTTTTTATAACGATTTGAATGTTTTTAATTTCTTCGAAAAATTTCAGACATTCTCGAATTTTTTTCTCGAAACTGGGTAGGATTTCGGGGTTATGTCTGTCCACCAAAAATTATTGTAATCGATCCTCCCAGCTAACAAAAATTTTTTTAGAATGATTTGAAATTTTTTTTTTCGACGATAAATTTCACACATTCTCGAATTTTTTTCTCGAAACTGGATAGGATTTCGGGGGTATGTCTGTTCACCAAAACTGATTGTAATCGGTCTCTCTAGCTAACAATAATTTTTTCAGAACGATTTGAAATTTTTTTTTTCGCCGAGCAGCACCTATTCGTATACCTTGTCCGTTGTTCATGTTCAACACATGGTAATTTCGCAAAAGTAGGAGTGCGAGCCCCCACAACCGATGTCGTCCATTCCACCATGTTTACTTAGAAGAATCGCACAATTCTGACTACCGCCAAAGTTGTCGGGATCCGCCGGAATCGCCGGGGTCCATCTGTCGTAACCAGATTTCTCCAGCGATTCGCCCGTCAGAGTCACCCAGTCGCCTTCCTCGAACAGATCATGAATGCCTAGCCAAGCCGTGTCGACCTTCGAGGCCAGCATCCATTTTATCAAAACGGCCTCCTCGGCTAACGAGTTCGGAATGGCCAAGTAACCTACCGAAAAACGTTCAATCGCTTTAGCTTTGATCGTCATCGAATCTACTTACGATCAATTGTTTTCTACACACTTGTTATATAAATATTAAATCACAAAACTCCTCTACGTGTAAAAGTAAGTGGAAAAGAACGAGTAACATTTTTTCGATCAAGCCTTCGTTTCCAAGATAATCGATTTCGAAGTAGGGCTGGCGCGTCTGACCATTTATCGCCTTTTCTACTTGCGTCGAAGTCAACGTCGATTTTCTAGAAAACGAGACTTCAAACGAAAAAATGTTGTTCTTTCCTTTCTACGTGTTTTTACACGTAAATATTTATTTTTTGGGAATTTCCCTGTTATCGAGTGTAAATAACTTTGATCACCTCCTTCGTCGATGCAGGACTTGCGTGCACGGTTCCACGATAGCTTGCGCGTGTGGAGCTTGTGGGCTCCGATGCCTGGAGCAACAACGTAGTCATCTTTCGTTAAAACGCTCGTGCAATTGCATTGCTGGCAATACGTCGACTGGGGTGGCCAGTTAAAGTAAAATACTTGTTGGTTAGCGTGGTAAATATTCTCGCCGTTCATGGTAGTCACCGATTGCGGCGAACCTGGAAGAACATCTGCATCGCGATCAATTCTATTAATTCCTCCCACTTTCTGTTCGTTAGTTATAAACTGCCGTGGGAACCATAACTCGGCTTCCAGTTAAACCGAGCAGAATTAGTCGGAATTAAAGCGATTCGTGGGAATTCGAAGATGCGCTCGAAATTGGTACAATTTTTAAACGCGTACTGTAAATTCACTGGTGACGTTACCTTCCTGGCTACGATTTAGCAATTTTATAGAGTCGTCGAACAGGCTGATTGGGTGTTTGTTCGATTTCGCATCTATTTTCGACACAGCAGGTACAGCTGTTGACTCTCGTAGCACGAGACACAATATTCCGCTCGTAAAAACGAGAAGAGTCAGCAACTGCTCGGACATCGTGAGTTCAAGAAGAGTCGATAGCAACACTGAGCAAAGAAAATTCGACGGTTATCAATATGTATCGATCACACGTACGATGTTGGTTGGAATGCTTCGCTGATACCGAGGTTGAAAGAGACACGCAAACTTTGACGTTCCGGCGTTGTTGAATCGTCGAGTGACGAAGCTTGACTGACCGCGCTATTAATACCAGTCGGTTCGTTATGCTCCTCCACTTTCGTTTCTCAGTTTTTTCCTTGCTCGTCCGCTCTCAAATTACAATAGCAAGCATATGTAGCCACGTGTTCGACGAACGAATAACAGGGTTAAAAATAGAGAAACTGGTTCTCCCGGCTGACCAATTTTATTTCTCAGCGATACCAAAGCGCAGATGCGGCGGAAGAGTTATAAAGCTTGGATAAAGGAATCGTACAATATCGTAGTTTTTCTGGGATCTAGACCCAACCGATCAACACATGGTGATCTCGCAGAAGTAGAAGAAGGAGTCCCCGCATTGGATGTCGTCCATTCCGCCATGTTCGCCCACAAGCGCCGCGCAGTTCTGATTCCCGCCCGCGTTGTCGGGATCGCCCGGGATCGCTGGTGTCCATTTGTCGTAGCCGGATCTCTCCAACGATTCACCGGTTATGGTTACCCAGTCGCCTTCTTCGAACAGATCGTGAATACCTAACCAGGCCCGATCGACCTTCGTGGCCTGCATCCATTTTAGCAGAATCGCCTCTTCGGCTAACGAGTTCGGGATGGCCAAGTAACCTATCGAACAACGACCCCTTTAATTCGATCACGCTTTCACGAATCTTCGATTCGAGGCGTAAGGAACCGTAATTCCTGTATATTTTGCGAATAAATAATCACCTCCTTCCTCCATGCAGGATTTGCGTGCCACGTTCCACATCTGCTTGCGAGTGTGCAGCTTGTGTGCCCCTATGCCCGGAGTGATAACGTAATCGGTCCTTCTCAAAACATTTGTGCAGCTTCTATTGCATTTCTCGCAGCTGCTCGACGCCTCCTCGCCGTAAAACGTCTGTTGGCTCGCCTGGTAATTATTTTGACCGTTCATAGTGATCAGCGACGACGGGAGGGAGCCTGAAAGCATACCTGCGACGCGAAGAAAGTTACGCCTCGTGCTCGTTTTGCGTGCGGACGTGCCACGCGTTTGAACGGTAACCTCGAGTTCAATTAAGCGGAATTATGTACAATTGAATCGTTTACCGCGAAAACCTATTCGCGTTAATATCGACGATACGATGCAATTTTTCCATTCGTCATTTCTAAATCCATTTTTTATCGCTCTAGAATGTGAATTTACCTTTCTGGCTACGAGTTTGCGGTTTCGAGGAGTCGTTGAGAATCCTGGTTTGGCTTTGATTTAGACTCGAGTCTGGGCCTGCGTCCGTGGATGGAATTGTTTCGATCGGGTCCGACGAAACTGAGCAAAATATCCCGCTCGTGAGAACGAGGAGCGTCAGCATCTGCCTCAACATCGCGTTCCGTGTCTTCGACGATGATTTTGACACTGGATCTAACCTATTTCTATTCGAGAAACTTGCGTTTCCTTTGCAAGAATTCGCTTCGACTAGTTTTACTTGGATTTTGCGCGTCGATGAAATCTCGGTGGTTGGCGACGTATCACTGTACGCGCCATCGACGATCCCGAGCTTCTTATGGCGTACGTGTCTTCTTCTCTTTACAATTATTTCAACTGGAAACCCAACATTCCGGTAATCCCGCCTTTGAGGAAAACCTTGAACCTGAGGATTCTTGTTTAAGCCTTCGTTTCCAGGCAATTGTAGGGCCGTTTAAATACTCGCGTCACTGGTCAGCGATTACGTTCGGTGATTACGAGCGAGGTTTCGTCCGTTTATGACAACCACTGGACGTTCACGGATCCTTTTAACGACGTTTCTGTTAAAACGATCGCCCCTCTAAATGATAAAAATTCACTAAACGTAACACTAAAATATATTACTTTGATACTCGGCGATATTTAAAGAGAAACGAGTGTGCAGGGAATACGACTGGTTGGGTATAAGCACTTTCGAACCAGTTTCTATCATTTTTTTTCAGACTTTCGAAGACACGTCCTGGCGTCCTTCTGCCGCGAGAGTCCATTGCGAGTCCCCTAGCCATTGCACGATTATCCAAGCATGTGTTTTTTAAAATTAATCGAGTACGACGTTCGTGGTACACGATTTCAAATGAAGAATGATCGAACCATCGACACGATAATTGTTTGTTTAAAAATCGCCTAAAATCGACGTCCCCGAATGGGAATACCACCTCGAGTGGTTAAAGATCTATAGACAAAGCTCGTGGAACGCGATTCCTGTTTACGGTTGTTGCCAGAGCGCGGAGGGGACGCGGGGGAGGTGGAAACCGCGCGGAAGGGCCGAAAAATGAACGTATAGCTGCGAATTGTGGGGTTCGCGACACCGGAAAGCAGGTTAGGGGACTTTTTACGGGGTTGTTCCATTTGCGGTTGTCGCGGTCGCGAACCGACCATCGTTGGAACGCGATAGCGTCGGGCCAGCCCCCCTTAACAACTAGATATTCGAACACGTCCATATACAGTCTGTTCTGAAACTATTCATTGGAATAATTTTAAATTTGTCAAAACAAATGCGTTGTGCTGCGTTACAATACATTTTCCAAGTAAAGAAAAATCAAAAAATTATGATTTCGAAGGCACAAGACGTAGGACAAACGCTTAAAAACAGAAATAAGCAGCGATAATGTTTTCCTAGCACTTTAACGGTAGAACAATCCTGGAAGACGAACCCTTGACGTTCACAGGTTGCATATTTCGATCTCACAGATGAAAGGGGTTCGTTGAGTGCACACGATGTCGTCCATGCGTTACGATATACAGAGTATAAACGATAACTTTGGCAAAAATCATAGGGTAAGTAGAGACCCCATAGGCAAGTATTTTAAGCATGGGAACCCGTGTCCGGAAATGCACCAGTAAAAAATTACGGCGATCTTTAACTTCGGTCTTTAGCTCCTGATGGATAGAAAACCCATCGTACTGGAAACTGTTTCTTTTGAGGTGGGTCAGTCGTGTAGGTGACAAAGATGACAAACATTGAAAGTTTTACGATGAACAACGTAAACATTTAATGAAATCATGGTCAAGAAACAATAAACTAAAAAAAGTTTGCCTACCCATCAGGCGCGAAAGACCAAAATTAAAGATCGCCGTAATTCTTTATTGGTGCATTTCCGGACACGGGTTCCCATGCTCAAAATACTTGCCTATGGGGCCTCTACTTACCCTATGATTTTTGCCAAAGTTATCGTTTACACCCTGTATTTTCCAGGCAAAGAAAAATCAAAAAATTATGATTTCGAAGGTACAAGACGTAGGACAAACGCTCAAAGACAGAAATAAGCAGCGATAATGTTTTCCTAGCACTTTAACGGTAGAACAATTCTGGAAGACGAACCCTGACGTTTATAGGTTGCATATTTCGATCTCGCAGATGAAAGGGGTTCGTTGAGTGCACACGGTGTCGTCCATGCCGCCGTATTTTACGAGAACCCCACAGTTCTGATACCCGCCGTAATTGTCAGGCTGGTCCGGCCAATGCGTCGTCCATTTGTTGTAGCCGACTGTGTCCAGCGATTCGCCATCCAAAGTTACCCAGACGCCTTCCCCGAACAGATCGTGAACGCCTAGCCAGACCGCGTCCACGTCCTCCGATCGCATCATATTTAGCAGAGCTGACTCTTCAGCCAACGAGTTTATCATGGCCAAGTGACCTATCGAACAGTGCTCGTTTTATTAACCCTCTCCACGATCGGTCGATCCCCCGGTTTATCTCGTGTATTAATCGGGGGAGCCTGAATCCCTTACTACTAAAATCACGTTGAGAAATTGTGGGAGACGATATTACGAATTGCATTTCGTTTAAATTGTTTGCATCACCTCCTTCGTCTCTGCAGATTTCGCGCGCGTTGTTCCACCACACCAAGCGAGTATTCAACTTGTAAGCCCCCACTCCTTTTATCAGAGTATAATCGTCCCTCGTTAGATTGTAGGCGCACCTCGTATTCCACCCGCGAAGTGAGAAATTAACGTAAAATATTTGCTTGCTAGCCAGGTAGTTGTGCTCGTCAGACATTGTGACTTCGGTTTTGGAGTCTGGAAAAAGGCGTTGTCCGATCGATTCTGTTTTTCAGTTAATCGATTAACCAGCGAACAGATCGCGTAAAGAGGATCGATTACCTTTGTCGCACAAAGGAATGTTAGAACGCATATGCACGGATTTGTCCGCTATCGTTTTTCTATATATATTTGGTTGGTCGCACGAGTTCGACGCCGCGTAACAAAACGTTCCGCCGGTCAAGCGCGAAAAAGATTGCCAACCGTTTGTACATGGCAAAAACTGTCAGCCAGAGTAAGCGTTTAATTAGAAATTATTTATACGAACTATAATTACGAACTGTCACCGTTCTATCGTCGAAAGCACAAACGCACAAACGTTGATAATCGACGAAGTTTGATTGATCGGGCCAGCGACGTTCGCGAGCTTTTTATGCTGTTCTTGCATCCATCCTGCTTTAGTCTTCACCTCACCTCGAGCTATGGTCTCGACGCTCCAACCATTGCGAGATGCCTTGAACTTTAGAACGCAGTCGTTTACAAGAACTAACGAATTCTTGTTCTTAACGTTATTTTTATATTACCTTATTGATAACCTTATCGAGTGATCTATTTGACCCGACCGGTCGTGTTATCTCTTTCGCGGGGGCAATGGATAACGGAAAGTAATGATAAATCTTCACATTTCTCGTATATTATGTATTTGTGCAACATCGTTTGTTTACATGGATATAAAAAAAAACATTGTCGCTGTCACGTTTGCGTGAACTTTAACATCCATGGGCGTCGATTTCGCACACGAACCAGTGCATTCTGTTGCACGGACGGTCGTCCAAACCGCCCAAATTCGAGTAAATAGCACAATTCTCTACTCCGCCGACGTTGTTAGGTTCGCTTGGAAACCATTTCTCGTACAGGGGTGGTTTCAGCTCTTCGCCCGTCACGGTGGCCCATTCACCCTCGACGAACAGATCGTGGATACCTACCCAGACTTCCGGGAAGTGTGACGATGTCATCGTTCTTAGCAAATGCGCCGCCTCGTCGTCCGAGTTTATAACGACCAAGTGACCTATCGAACAACGTTAATTTGTCGTTCAGTCCAAAGGAATCTGAACTTATTACCAAAACGACGAATGTCGAACAGTATTGGTCGTGAATTAAGTTGCTTCCGCGTAGAAAGATTTACATTGTATATTAATAATTATCATTCAACCACGCCTTCTTTTAACATCACCTCCGTCTTCCCTGCAGGCCTTGCGAGCATTGTTCCACGTCATTTTCCGAGAGTTCACTTTGTAATCACCTACACCTGCAACTAAATTTAAGTCCTTCGTTACCGTACAGTCCGCGTGTGACTTATTTCGAACCTTTCAACGTAACGTAATTACCTAAAAGCGAAGTACCATTTTGTGGTTCGACCGTGAAACAAGATATTCCGCCCGCGAGACCGAGAAGAATTAGCAATCGCACGTACATCGCGTCGTGTTCTCAGAAGAAACGTTTAGGATGTTCCTATGTCAACTGATACTCCGTTATGTAAGTCTTTGCAATATATACCGTCGACGTATATGAGTCAACTGGTCTCTGGGATTGTGCAGTCAATCTTATGACCAGATAACCTTGTTTTTCTATCGAGGGGACCTCGTGTTTGCGAAGCAACAAAATAATATAGCAAAGTTCAGGACCCAACAACTTTATTTTTTATTCGCAGCATGACTGAACTTCTTGGTAATGAAACTCTGAGAGCAACTCTGTTTCTCACAAAAATATATATTTGCATAAACAATCGTATGATACATTGGCGTTTCGTTGAACGCGACGATCGATCGATCTCTCTAGTCGTTTGGAAGCGACCGAATCGTTCATAGAGCTACGTGAAATCTTAAGGATAAGTGTCTGCTGTTGGAAGCTTCAGGGGACCTTCCCCTGTCCTAGTAATCGCAGACTTCGATTTCACAGACGAACGGGTACGCCAATCCGCAGTCACGATCATCCATTCCGTAGTCGTCTCTAATGCTTCCCGTCACAACCGCGCAATGTTCGTTCCCGCCAGCATTGTTAGGCTCGCCCCAACGCCAGCCTACGTAGCCAGCCGATTCCACCGACTCGCCAGCCAGAGTGGCCCAGTCTTTCTCATCGAACCGATTGTGAACCCCGATCCAGAGATTATTGAAATTTTCATATCGCATCGAATTTATCAGGATGGCCTCTTCCGCTCTCGAGTTTACGATGACCAAGTGACCTGTCGAAAAATGTTTGTCAAAACCGGTCGCCCTGAACGCGTGCCACTTGAAACAACATATACTGGTCACCTCCTTCTTTCAAGCAGTAATTGCGGGCCTCGTTCCACGACATTGATCGTCGGATCAATTTATGAGCACCTACGTTCCGAGTGAGCGAATAATCGTCCCTTATCGGAAGATTCTTGCAGCATCTGTTATTGCAAACGTCCGACGACGCGCGCATAAGTAACAGCGAGGGGTCTGGAAAGAAAGCAACACACCCTGGTGAATTTTGGCCGTCTTTTAATCAAAGAATCACGCAGATCGGTCGGCTGCATATAAACTAAAATGTTTGTGCAATTTCTGTTTCTATCGACGAATACGCGATCCGTCGTAGAAACGAATAGAACGTATAAATGTAACCCTTTTACCTGATTCCCCGTCATCAGGTACCAAGATCGATGAGTCGTTGAGAAGAGGCAGCAAAATTGTCGCAGCATCTTCGTCCGACTTTACGAACGAAAGTACTCCGCTCGAGAGTACGAGAACAGTTACCGCCAGCTTGTACATGGCTCGATTTTCCAACTCGTAGAACTTCACGCACGGAGATTTACTTGACTCGACAATTAGCGAAGTTCGACTGACCGAGTGCACCAAAGTTGCAACATATTTATACCACCTGCGCCATCACACCGTGCTCGAATTTTTCTTTCACCGTTTAACGAACGAACAAACAATCGGTACTTTGGTACTCCAAGCACTATCAAGGATTCTTATCTGTACGTCACCGCGTATCAACAAATCTCTTCTCGCGGATGTTATATTTCTACCGATGACGAACATCTATGCATAAATTTACAGATAAGACCGTGCAATAGAAAACGATGGATTTGGAAAATAACGTAAAGTTAAAATTTTAGGGGATGTTTCGGTTTCTACCGTTGGTGAAAATAGTGTTAAGAGGACACCGGAAACCAGGTTAGGGGACTTTTTACGGGTCTTTTCCATTTGTGGTTGCCGCGGTCGCGGATCAACGCCCGTTGGGACGCGGTATCGTCGGACCTACCACCCCCCTCCCACCCCCAGGCAACTGGATATTCGAATATGTCCGTATATTTGCCAGCGAGCTTCAAAAATCGAGGTATCGCGTTATCGGTTTTGGCCCCCGGCTGGCTTCCGGTTGTCGAGGAACAAAACCCATCCAAGGAACCGTAACCGACATAATGGGAAGTAATAACAACGAGGAAATGTTGAAACGAGAATTAACTGATAAGTCCAGGAAGACAAATTAATCATGATCCAATTTATACGCTGCAATCAAGAACCGCTTATCAAACAAAAGATTAGATACTCTTGTTTACGAATCATTGAGGAATTTAGATAATAGCCGCGAGCTTTTCTACGCCACGGAAAATATGTATACGTGTCGCGCGTTCGCGTAAAAAAAAAAAAATAACGCGTCTACCGGAACGAGAGGTGTTTTGCACCGAAACACGGTTTCCTCCGCGACAAAAATGGACAAAACGAGGCAACTTTGGCGCAAACAACTTTTTACCGGGGATGTCAGACGGGGAAGTAGTTCGAGACGAAAGTAAATGGAACGCCTCGAACGCGGTTTCATATGAAACTTTTCCGAGTGGCGAAGTTTCTCGATAATGTATCGCTCGAACGATGGGAACCGTTAACGAGAACCAGGCCGTCTCGACAACGTCGAGAGACCAACGCCCTTTATTCTCCCTCTCGAAGGGTTTTCGTTCTCGTTTTATAGCGAATTAAATTTCCAAGCGGGTAATATTCCGTTGTATTCCGTCCAGATGCAAAGAATACCTCGATCACCGAAATCGTGGAGGAAACGGAAGACATAGGTCGTCCGAACGAAAAGCTTCGAAGCTCTTAAAAGGGAATCGAGTCGAAAGCTTTCTGGACCGGGGATCCCGATCTCCGGAAATGCTGAACTCGGCTGAATTCAGCTTTTCCGTGGAATTTTTCCGGGAACGCCTCCGACTGCGACGGTCAGTGTCAGCTCCCGATGGAATAACAGAGCCGATGCAAAAATCCTCGGCAAATTGACAAACCCCATCCGCATACATTATGTGCACGGTTCAAAAATCGGTTCTATTGACTTTGGACCGTGAAACGGCGACCGTAAACACGAACGGTTCGCAAAAATTCCATGGAAAGGTAATGCGTCCCATAGACGGGAAAAATTCGACCACGCAGTTTACGAACGTTGGATGGGAACGTCAAAGTTTCCGTTTTCCTTTAATCGAAACATACATTTGCGTCTTTACATCGAATTATCAATATTTACACGCTACGCAACTTTGTCCAGCGTTAAAGGCTGGATGAGATTATCCAATTAAGGTTACGGGACATCAATACATATCGATCTCGCATATGTACATGTGGTTCAGGGTGCACACAACGTCGTCGATGCCGCCAACTTTTAGGAGGACTCCGCAGTTTTGATTGCCTCCCAGATTGTCAGGCTCGTTTGGGAACGCGGTGGTCCAATTGTCGTAGCCGGCTTCTTCCAGCAACTCCCCCGTTAGAGTCACCCACTCGCCCTCCTCGAACAGATCGTGAATACCGATCCAGGCCTCGACGACGTTCGCCTCTCGAAGGACGCGTAGCAACACGGCCTCCTCGGCCAACGAGTTTATAACGGCCAAGTGACCTATCGAACAATTTCCACCCGTTTAACGAATCAGCGGTTTCGTATTTAACGATAACGTCGCGATCAAATATTTGAGAAAGCAGTTTCGCTTTGCGAGATCGTAAAAATCTATCTATCTCGTCAAACATCGTAAATTCCTCTTAATTCCTTCTAATGCTCGCGAGATATCGCTCGCGTGCCAAGCGACAGATAATTACGAACAATGTTTGTACATTCACGTAAATGGCGGTCGGCGCCAAAGATTCACGGAGACCTTGGACGGGGGATAAATGATTCTCTTCACCTCCGTCTCTCGCGCAGGATGCGCGAGCTGCGTTCCACGTGAGCCTCCTTCGATTCAGCTTGTGAACGCCCACGCCTCGCGTCACCACGTAGCCCTCTTTCAACGACACGCTGCTCGGGGATGAGTGTCGCCCGTTAACGAAAAACGACTGCTTGTCAGCCATGTAATTGTTTTGACATAGCGCGGTGTCTGGCGACGAGTGACCTGCAAACGACTCTGATTTACTGCCAGGGCACGCGATCGCGTTTCGATTACGAGTACCTGGATTATTATTAGGGAAATCAATGACGGTCGCCACGTCGCGAAGTATTCCGAACGAAATGGCGAGAAGAGCTAGCTTGTACATCTCGGCGACAACTTCTACGGTCGACCTACCGACAGAAATAATATCGAGTAAGATACAGGAGAAGGAAACCTGGCGTCGAGGAACGAAACTCCTTTCGATCGACCCTTTTCACTCGTTTCGAATCAAATAACACACCGACTAAACCAATCATTTTATTCGGTCGTTTCCCTTACAATCTCACTGAACTTATCAATAAAGTATCTTATCAATAAAATCTACGATCCCTAAATAGTAAATGGCAGTGCATCAACATAAGTTGATCTCGCAGATGTACGAAAAGTGCGAGTCGCAGGCGATGTCGTCCATGCCGCCCAGTGTCTCCAGGATGCCGCAGTTCTGATTCCCGCCAATATTGTCCGGCTCGTTCGGCCACAGGGTGGTCCATTTCTCGAAACCGGTGGCGCTCAGCGGCTCTTCGTTCAGCGTTATCCAATCGCCTTCTTCGAACTGGTCGTGAATACCCAGCCAGACGCGACCGGAGTTCTCCTTTTGCATCCAATTTAAAAACAGCCTCTCCTCGCTTTCCGAGTTTATGACGGCCAATTGACCTATCGAACAACGGACAGCTCGTTTAATCCTTCTTTTCGCTTCTTTTCGTCGAGAAAGACACGCGAAATGGTTTCAGGGAGGATCAGTGTATTTAAAAAGATTGTCGAAGTCACCTCCTTCGGCCTTGCAGGACTTGCGAGCCTGGTTCCAAGTCACGTTGCGTCTGTGCAACTTGTGAGCACCGATTCCTACGGTGATCTCGTAGTCGTCCCTCTCTATGAAGTTCACGCAATTTTTCGGGCCCCTTCGTCGCCGCCAATCGTTAATGAAGAACACCTGCTGGCCAGCCTGGTAATTATATTGGCCGTTCATGTTAACCAGCGCTTGGGGACCTGGAAAAAAGATCGGTGAGTTCGGTCCCGGTTCCCTTCCGTTCCTCCATCTTGGTCTCTAATCGTTAGCCTCGGGTACTTCGTTGCTTCGATCCCGGTGCCCCGCGGAAAGAATTTACCTGGATTCGTACCGTCGATCGTCCTCTTCTCTCTCAGATCCTCGTCGGGTATCTCGATCACGGACGACCGTGCAACGGAAATTATTCCGCACGCGAGAACGAGCAGAGCTAGCTTGTACATCTCGGCGACTTCGCGACCAATCTACCGACAAAAATAACATCTGATGAGCACTGGGCGGCCGTTCGAGTCTCCGTTGGAGCGTCGTTCGCGAGGCAGGTCTCCGTGGACCTATTAAAATTTGCAAGCCATTTTCTCGCCAGACTAAACGTGGTCGTATTAAATCGTCGGCACAGATTACGATGAATGTCTTCCAAGAGCCGTCCTGATCGCCTTGTTCGTAATTTTCAATCAGAGAGTTTCCTCACGGTTCTTGAAACATCGAGTGTTCGTTGCCTTTTTTATCAAGTCACTGAGTTCTCGACCAAAGCGTCGTGCGAGTTATTTTCTAATAAATATTGCAAGTCAGACTTGTATTTCCTTATATTCTGAAATTTATGCGGAAAGCCAGACGATACGTTTACTAGATAGACAAATGACGAGGAACAGAAAATAGAATCGTAATTGGGGATTTCCGTGCGCATATATTTCTGTAAAAGATCTTTATTCCGTAATAACGACGGATTTTCCAAACGCTACGTTACGAAATGTTCGAAGCAGTACAGAGGCTGTTCCATGACAGTATTTTCTGCGATAATAAAGATGCATTTGCTACGGAATCGATAAATTTACGTTATACGTGCGCGATGTTTATTGTAATTAAATATACTATTCGATTTTAATGAAAGATCGCGGATGAAAATGTTGGAACAATTCCGCGCCCTTTGATAAACAAGAAAACAATTATGAAATATTTAATTCGACGAAATTGCCTCGGAATATTATGATCAGAAGCTTTTGAACGCGTCTGCGGTCGATTGCAATTTTTATTGTAAAATATCTCGAGAGGCACTGTTTGTGGAAGACTGTGCATGGATGAAATATGATCGAATCATTATCGTCGTGCGGTTTCCTCACCGGAAGATGATGCACGCATCAGACGATTAGATTGTACAAAATTCTGTATAAATACTTTCACGTTGCAAACATCAAATTGCTTTTAATTTGCCCAGTCTTCAATTTCTGAAGAATCGATTTGTACGAAGTACCTAGCCCGTAAATCTCGATCTTCGATTTCACTCGAAAGTAATTTGACGATCGAATGCAGTTTCGTTGATCTAAGCGCGATGTATACTTGCGTGTACTGACCGTCGCTTTCCAATATGTTTTCAACGATCGTTCACCACTGTTCACCGATAGACCGTAGAAAAATGCACTGGTCGTTTGTGTAGGACCGATTATATACGAACGTTTCGCAGAAATGCACTGATTGTGTCGCTATCGTTGTCGACGAGCTTCTGTATCACGCGTGTGAGCACTATCGCTCCACTCCCCGCCGAGGTTCGACGCGGATTCTTCTTGCTCTTTGTCACGCGCGATGACCAAACTGGAAATCCAACATTCCAGGACTCCCAATGGCTACACCGCAGACCTTGAATCGCTACGAGTCTCGTTTGATGAGTCAATTCGCGAGGCAGATAGCAAACTAGGTTTTTCGGTGCAACAAAAACGATTGCTGGCAGGGAAATTGCAATCGAGTGGACGTTTCTCCCTCAACGTCCTAACAACGACCCACAAACTCTATATTTTTCCAATTTTCGTCATCAGTTTTCGAAAATTTCGATCAATTTTTGCTCCAAAGGTAAGATTACTGGCAGGAAAATTGCAATCGAGTCGACGTTTCTCCCTCAATGTCCTAACAGCGACCCACAACCTCTGCATTTCTCTAATTCTCCTAATCAGTATTCGAAAATTTAGATCAATCTTTGCTCCAAAGGGTAAGATTGCAACAAAGACGATTGCTGGCAGGAGAATTGCAATCGAGTCGACGTCCTAAGAGCGACCCACAGCCTCTATATTTCTCTAATTCTCGTAATCACAGTTATCGAAAATTTAGATCAATTTTTGCTCCAAAGTTAAGATTGCAACTAAAACGATTGTTGGCAGGAAAATTGCAATCGAATCGACGTTTCTCCCTCAATGTCCTAACAGCGACCCACAACCTCTGCATTTCTCGAATTCTCCTAATCAGTTTTCGAAAATTTAGATCAATCTTTGCTCCAAAGGGTAAGATTGCAACAAAGACGATTGCTGGCAGGAAAATTGTAATCGAGTCGACGTCATAAGTGTGACCCACAGCCTCTATGTTTCTCTAATTCTCGTAATCAGTTATCGAAAATTTAGATCAATTTTTGCTCCAAAGTTAAGATTGCAACTAAAACGATTGTTGGCAGGAAAATTGCAATCGAATCGACGTTTCTCCCTCAACGTCCTAACAGCGACCCACAACCTCTGCATTTCTCTAATTCTCCTAATCAGTTTTCGAAAATTTAGATCAATCTTTGCTCCAAAGGGTAAGATTGCAACTAAAACGATTGTTGGCAGGAAAATTGCAATCGAGTCGACGTCCTAAGTGCGACCCACAGCCTCTATGTTTCTCTAATTCTCGTAATCAGTTATCGAAAATTTAGATCAATTTTTGCTCCAAAGTTAAGATTGCAATAAAAACGATTGCTGGCAGGAAAATTGCAATCGAGTCGACGTTTCTCCCTCAACGTCCTAACAGCGACCCACAACCTCTGCATTTCTCGAATTCTCCTAATCAGTTTTCGAAAATTTAGATCAATCTTTGCTCCAAAGGTGAGATCGCAACAAAACGATTGCTGGCAGGAAAATTGCAATCGAGTCGACGTCCTAAGAACGACCCACAGCCTCTATATTTCTCTAATTCTCGTAATCAGTTATCGAAAATGTACATGAATTTTTGCTCCAAAATGGTCAGGTTGACTCGTTATTAGGGCATAATTCCATCGAGAGGGTCGAGTAACGTCGACCGGAAGCGATCGACTCGAAATTGCCGGAGGAAGTACAGCGGGGCAGGTTTACGCGACAACCGCCTCTCATCGCGATGAACAACGATACGACCGAGGCAGTTTGCGATGCCATTGTTGTCAATTGCGATGCAATATGGCGGTCGAAACGAACGTTGCAATGGCAACGTCGAGTGATCGATGAATTCACTTAACGAGTAATGAGCAGAACAATTACCCATTATGTAATCGACGTGCTCTGTACTTGACGCCTCGCGACTCGTCCAAGAACCTTCATATTCGCAAGCATTATATTTCATCATGCATTCGCCAACTTATCGACTCCTATCTCATCTACGCGAAAGCTCTCGTAACCGAAACATTCTCGAAATTCCGAGAAACCTGCAATATACCATATCTTTTCCGATATCTCGAACGGAGTAAACAGATAACGATCGCGTGTGAAGAAGGCATACTTGTAATTAAAAAAAAACAGGAATCTACAATCCGGAAATTATAACCAAGAGAAGACAGAAATAGAAAGTAATTTGTTCTTATCTCGGAGCTAGTCAGGCCTCTTAATCAAACTTTTCACGAACGAGGGTGCCCGGACGGCGATAAGTTTTTTAAATCGAGTATCGTCGCAAAAAGCCGCGGTATCCGTCGCGGGAACTGGGTCGAATCAACAATGCCTCGTTCCAGCTACCGGTTTCCGCGATATCGATAGCGAAATTTCGCTCAATACACTCGGGACGCGTTGTATCCAGCAAACGTTTCGAATCCCGGTTAGGTGGAATCGCTACTCGCGACGGGCAAGGAGAAAATTTTCGCCGTATAATCCGGCCAAGATCTTCCCGGGGGCGTCTGGCGACGAAGGTCGCGCTTTTGCTTTGGAAAAACGGAATGCGGGGCCCGCAGAAACTCCATCGTTCCCGCCTCGTTTGCCGCGATTTCTCGCCGTTTCATCGGCGCGCGGCGATTTCGGATCAATGCTTTTCGGTAAATTAATACCGACGGTCCCTGGAACGAGTTTGCCCGGCAAACGCGAAGTGCCAGATTTCACTCTCGAATGGCAAAACCCTTTGATCGTTCAATTTCACGCGATCCCCTGAGCTCGTTTCACGCGCGACGCGAAACCGCTCGGAACGGCTCAAAAGGCTCGAATGTTCCCGCGATCCGATCGTTTTTTCCGCGCCTCGACACGTGATCTTACAAGGGACGTCGCTCGAAAGCTTTTCCATCGAAATGAAATGCAACGGTGATCTGGAAATATCTTTTAAATTAATCGAGAAAGTTACCAGAGAAACCATACGCAAAGTCTCGTGATAAATAAACGCGTAAATTCGTTGGTCGGAGAACGGAGGCACGAACAATCGTCGTAGGATATTCGAGGACGTCCTACCGGCGAGATTAGCCGTGGAATTCGAAAAGGACGAAGCCGGGGCTGCCTAAGAGTTTCATCTCGCGATCCTTCATCCTCGAAGCGCGTTCAACCGCGAGGACGCCAAAGAGGCGGCTGGCTCGTCCTGATTCCCGAAATCAGCCATCGGTTGGACGCTCTTCCGTAATCCAAACGGCATTCACGGAACCACAATTTCCTCTCCGAAAAGGGCTCGCGTCGTATCCAGGCCGCGTAATCCAAACGGGATTTCGCCCAGCCGCATCAGAGATTTCGCACAGCGCGTTAACACCGCATTCTGTTCGCTTCTATGGCCTCGACGATTTTCCCTTTCCTGAAACCCCCCAGTTTCGTCCTTAAGCGAGCGGAACACCCACGACGACCGTCTCAAGCAACGATTCTGCGTCTCTTGTTAGGTCTTTGATACATTTGACAGAGAACTAATCGACCAGAGACGAGAAAACTCCAAAGTTAAACTTAGAAATAGTCGATCGAGTCTGGGGAATGCGTTATCGAGTGCCACTGGTCAACGAAGACCATTAACGTCCTGAAAAACATGTTCAACTTCCAAATCGTACGTGTCTGGAAACACGTGAATTGACCGTTGGCTACTCAGTGGCTAGCTTATGGTCATCGATGGTCAGCAATGAGGTTGACGTCAAGATCAGTGGTCTAGTGAAGACCTAGGAATAGCCAAGAAGTAGGACCAATCGAAAGAGTTCTGTAGATTAGGCGATCTTAACTCCGGCACTGGCTGTCTCCCCACCCCTTCAGCGTGGTATAAGCGGGGCCACTGCGGACCTAATCTTCAGTCGCGTCGCGAATTCGGTAGTGTGGACATCGCTTGGAGAGAGGCGCTGGGGGTTCCTGACCGCTGCTGACCACTGGTGACCTCCACTGACCAATACTGACCACTACTGACCAGTTCTGGCTCGCGTTCCTGCCACTACTGACCACTACTGACCACTGCTGACCACTACTGACCAGTGCCGGACGGTGATGACTACGGTAAGAACTGTTCAAAAATTCTCTCCCCTCTTTTATTCTATCGTTTGATGCCAATTTCACTTGAATGAACTGATTGTGCCTTGCTTGCCTAACTGACGTTGCTATAATATGAATATTTTCTTACTTTACAGCTGGTCCAGTGGTAACTATCCTATTTCCTGACAGCAAGTAGTAAGTCCACTCCACTTATTTATATTTTATTATTTTTATTTGTTTGTCTGATTTTATTTGGTTATTATGAATGTATCATTTCTCTGTTTCTACTTGTACATTGTTTTTCGAATTTATGTGATTGCTTTGATATGTATAATATTACAGGATATAATATTGTTTTCAATCATATACTATAGTTGTTTCTATACAACTTCATAAATTTCTATTACACCGATTGGAATGAGATTTTCATTTTTCCGTTCTTGCTCGAATTCTCGTAATATTCTGCGAAGGTACTTTCTTTGATTCTTCCATTTCGTTTGATTGTTTGGTGTCTCGATCCAAGTTTCTTTTGAAAATTCTTTCGACTCTCTTCGTTGGTTGTGCACCTTTCATTGGTTTCACTTTCATTTGTTTCTTCTTCGACCAACGATCATCGTCACAGAAGATCTTTAGCTGACACATCATTTTTAAGTGTTCATTAAATTTCCTACCATATCTCACTAATATGAATATTAGTTTTGATTTCAGTTAGGACATCGAGGGACGACGCCACAGCCGCCGAGGGACTTTTAATTCCAAGTTGATTAGTCTTAAGCTTCGTCGCGAGTATTAAAATTAACGTCGAAGATTTCTTTATTGCACGTATTTCTTTATTGTGCGTATTCTTTATTGCCGTGTCCTACCAAGCAATTATTTAATAAATAGCTTCCCTCTCGATCGTACCCTCGTTCCTAGCTTCGGTCACCGCTGTTTCATCGATTGAAACATGTGATCGGCCGTGTAGCTGGCCCGACAGATCTAACCGCATTCCCTTGGTAGCTCGATCCAGGGAAAATGGTACTCTGCTGGAAGGTGTGGAGTTTCCGTATCCTGCGGAAACGCATACCTTCCAGCGGAAGTCGACACTGGAACAGAGGTACTCTCTCTTTGTCAGACAACTTGAGTCGGGTCCTTCGGGCTCCCGGCGGGTTGCGTTGGAGCAATGGAGACCTTAGATTCGGAGTCGCAGCCGTCCGTTATCCTGTAGAGATCTAATTAGCAAGGGCAGTAGGTTCGATCCTCGGATCCGCTGCACGGTTCAGCGTCGCGTCGCGTCGCGTCTCTCACTATATAGCTTCACCCCTTTTTTAAAGAAATAATTGC